TAACGAGCATAAGCTCCATCTTGAAGTGTAATGTATGCGACACAATCATGAATGTAATGACAACACCATAATTATCAATATCTCAACACAACATCATCGTTGGCCATAAGTCTACATCTTTATAGCGGCCAATTATTAGAGGCATCTCAACATCTTTCATCAAAATCGCATATCATCATAATTCATGTATCATCATAAATTATCAAACATCATTTATACATCATAACTCATCAAGCATAATCTCATAATTCATCGTTTCATCAACAACTCAGCCGTACACTAGTACAACCGTATCTCGTCAATTCGCAACGTTGGTCGTAGGCCTACAACAATAATATTGCCTATAATTAATTACTCATCAAAGGCTTACTTCTAAATCACTAGACCTCTACATATTACTATTCTGTAATACTACATCATTATCATCATTAAATCCCACTGTTACAAACCAAATAGAAACCTATAATCATCTCATCCTCATCATTCTTCACAAAAATCAACATAACGATTAACGCGGGAATTAACTCTAGTCCTAATTTGGATACTAGGATTATCCTTCCTATTCTTCATTTTAATCCTTAAGAATAAAGTTCATCGCGTTAGCTATTCAACGCTTCAAACGACACCTCAAACGGAGTCCGAAAACTCAAGTTACAACATTTTCCAAACGATTCTGCCAAAAACCAGACAACATGGGTCGATGCATAACGCCTTGGGTCGACGCGTACTGAGTTTAACACACCACATGAGTTGACGCATCCTCCCTTGATCGACTCATCCTGAGTCTGCAACACTGCATATATCGACACATGCTCTTACGTATCGACTCATCCTGAGTCTGAAGGTCCTTCATGTATCGACACATGACTCCTTCGTGTCGACTCATCCTGAGTCTAAAGACTTCCTTGTATCGACACATATCATTTGGGGTCGACACATACTGCTCTGTTATGGGTAATTTATGCGATTTTCTCTGCATTTTCACTACGGGTTCCATACTTTAAGCCCTAAAAGCATCATCTAATCATAGATAATCATCACTTACAATTATCCTATAATTCTACATCAAATAAACAACACTGGGACATCGTTATTCATCCATAATTCATCCATTTCCTTCATACAACATCATATATAATTCAATCATAAACCAAACAAGATTTCACCTCTAACCACACATACTAATTATTATCAAACCTATTATAGAGTCAGAACCCCACCCTTACCTTGGATTGAAGGTTGCTATATAACTTCCGGTTGAATTTCTGTTATGCCTCTCTTTTCCTCCTTTCTAACAGCTTTCACGTTCTTTCTTCTAACCCTTATTCTTTCACTGCTTCTTCTTCTTATTACTTCTTATAATATAATAAAATAACCTATTATTCTCTTTATTCCTTGATGGACTTAAAACTATTACACCCCTCTCTTTACTACTTCTATTCCTTTAAAACAAGCCCACATTAAATAATATCATCCTTCTAATATTATTTCACAACTTAATAAAATAATTAAATCCAACTAATCACAACACAACTTCACAAATATTCCAAAAATAATTTAATTAAATAATTAATTAAATTACAGGCGTTACAATTTGGGCCGAGCCCATTTGCTGATTGCACCTTCTGTTTTATGTTTTCTTTCTAACACAAAAAACACACCCCTTGGCCTTCTGGGTCTGAATCAAAAATCTGAATTCAGGCCCTTCCTATTAACACCCTATCTTTTTACTACCCTTTTTATATTTTACACCCCATACATTTTTTTTAAAATATTTTATTTATTTCATTTATTTTCATATTTTTATGTTTTCCTTCAATTATAATAATTATATATATAGGAGAAATAAATTACTTTTATATAAAAATAATAATATGAATAAAAATTAAACCTTATCAAAAATGAAAAATGAAATGTAAAAATAAAAATGATATATGAATAATTGTTGACTATTATTTATAACATGCATAAAATGTAACATCAATTGAATATAATTAGTTACAAATTAATATTTATAAGGTTTCAAAGTAATAATATATTATAATAAATTTATAACATATAATTAATATAAAATATAAAACAATTATTTACAAATACTTATAAACATAATATTTCAACATTATCAAAAAATAACTACATAATTTATATTTTAAATAATTAAAATTACAATATATAATTATTTATGTGAATAAATAAAATATATATAAGTAATGCATTAATAATAAATATTAAAAAATATATAATATAGAATTTTTCAAATATGTATATCTCAAAAGGAAAATACACAAAAAAATTATCATTTTTTTAAGAGGTTATTTATTGCTTAAGCCCAAATTAAAAGAAACGAAGCCCATACTTGGTGGCGGTCCATTCAAAAACTCTTTAGAAACAACTTTTTATTTTTGCAGCAACGTTGAATCAAAACGAACCAAAACTACGGGAAAAAAACTAGAACATGACGATGATGTCCCAAGCCCGTAAAACGAGGTAACATAGTTTCCTCAATTGATTTTTCGAAGTTCTTATGTTTACATCAAACTCTCCAAACATATATGTTTCTGAGCGGTTTCTATTCAGTCTCAATTAACACAGCTCTCGAAGTTTGTGGCTTCCTTGTTCAGCAGCTTCATTTTGCCCTCTACCTTTTTGATGAATTGCTTCACCCGTGTTTCAAACTAAAACTAACTCTAAGCATTGTACACACACTGATTAGTTCTTTAACATTGGTTGTTCCATCAGATTCAGTATAATTTTTTTGCCTGTTTTGAGGAACTAGAATTGTTACAAGTATATTTCCAATTGAGGTTATTATGGCGAGTAAAACTTTGTTTAAGTGGCCAAAGCAAATTACAAATTCACTAGTTGAGCAGCTAATAAAAGCAGAAAAGGACGTAAACAAAGCTGTCCTTATGTTTGATTCTGCCACAGATGAGTATACCAATGGTTTTCGTCACGATCATAAAACTTTTGGTGCAATGATCTATAGGCTAGTCTCTGTGAATCAATTTAGGCCAGCTGAAGGAATGCTGGAGAGAATGAAGCAAGAAGATTGCAAGGTTGATGAGGACATATTTTTAACCATATGCCGAGGTTATGGACGTGTGCACAGGCCACTTGATGCCGTCAGGGTTTTCCATAAGATGGAAAATTTTCAGCTTAGGCCGACTCAGAAGTCTTACCTTACAATATTTGATATTCTTGTGGAGGAAAATCATGTGAAAAGGGCGATTGGTTTTTACAAGGAGATGAGAGAAAATGGCATTCCGCCTAGTGTTGTTTCCCTCAATATTTTGATCAAGGCGCTCTGCAAAAATGAAGAAACTGTAGAGTCTGCTTTCCGGATATTTCGTGAAATGCCTAATCGTGGATGCCAGCCTGATTCGTATACATATGGTACATTGATTAATGGGCTGTGCAAGCTTGGAAAAATCAATCAGGCAAAGGAACTGTTGGTTGAGATGGAAGAGAAAGGTTTGTCGCCTTCAGTTGTTAGCTATACTAGTTTGATACATGGCATGTGTCAGTCTAATAATTTGGATGAAGCTATAGAATTGCTCGAAGAGATGATAAGAAATGGCATTGAGCCAAATGTTTTTACTTATAGTTCTTTAATGGATGGTTTGTGTAAATGTGGCCATTCATCACAAGCAATGGAGTTGTTAGAAGTGATGGTTAGAAGACATCATTCGCCTAACATGGTCACTTATAGTACGTTAATCAATGGACTGTGTAAAGAAGGAAAGTTTAGAGAAGCTGTGGAGATTCTTGACAGGATGAGACTTCAAGGATTGAAACCAAATGCAGGGATGTACGGGAGAGTAATAAGTGGCCTCTGTGCTACAAGCAGCTATCAAGAAGCTGCAAACTTCATTGATGAGATGGTTCTTGGTGGTATCTCACCTAATCGAGCAAGTTGGAGCTTTCATGTCAGAATGCATAATATGGTGGTTCAAGGGCTTTGTAATAATATTGATCCACCTCGCGCATTCCAATTGTATCTTAGTATGCGTACTAGGGGTATCTCTGTTGAGATTGACACTTTTGACTGTTTAATCAAATGCTTTTGCAAAAGAGGAGACCAGCACAAAGCTGCTCGAATTTTGGATGAGATGATATTAGATGGCTGCATTCCAGATGAGGGAATATGGAATGTATTAATGTGTGGACTTTGGGATCGGAAAAAAGTGAGAAAAGCCACCGAGCTATTGTTGGCTGAGCTGAAGCAAAAAGTTGTTGAAGCTGAGAGTTGAAGTTTGTGAACCCAGGCGAGGGAATATGGAATGTATAAATGTGTGCACTTTCTCTGATGATCATTGCTTTCATGACCAAGGATTAAGGTTCAAACTGTGACAGTAATTTGCTGTAAGCAATTGGAGGCTAACTTTACACCTCACCTTCTCTTTATGAGGACACTCTTTGGTCCTTGCTCGACCTTTTTGAAACTTCAATGATGCAAATACTTGTCGGGGGAAGATTTTCCATGGTTCTGGCCTGATAGGTAAGGTAAACACAGGTAAACACAGGTAAACACATGATGGTTACTTTTATCTTTCATTTTCTAGAAACTTTGCTGCTCAGTCAGTTCCAGTAATTTGGCCAAATTTCAAGTGTACCACATTCTTTTTGTAGTGTAAAACTAACATTTTAGTTGGAATTCATGATGTTCTGATTTCTATTCATATGGCTGGACTCAGATATTTTATCTATCATTGTTTTGTTTAATGGTGAATTTGCACTATACTTTAACAGGATTCTGGTGTTCTGTTTTATCTGCTACAACAAAATCGAGAAGTTCAAATAAAATAATGCACTTGTGGTCAGGCCCATTATGGGTCTATTGTAAGGTGTCTTGTCTTGTGTTTGCAAAGTATTTGCAAGTTGATTTTATAAAATAATGCACTTAGGTTGAACATATATAATTTTTTTTCCATTATAATAATTCATTTATCAAATAATTCATTGAAACGGATGCAACCATGAACATAAAAAAATCACAATTATTAACTTGTCGAAAGGGGGAAGCCAATTCCATGTCTCTCAGTAGGAAATGTAACAAAAAGCATGCTGCAAAAGACGCCAATTGCCACTGGCAATGCCGTTAGGATTTCCTGTATCTCATTTGATGGTTCTGGAAAAAAGCAATTCACCACATTCTGATCAAATAACGCGATTGCTGCAAATACCAAAATCGACATCATTGCATGGATAAAGTCTATACACCGTATGCGATATTTTTCAGAAACTTGTGGTGGAAGTTTGGTTGATCCATCAATGACCCACAAGCCCTTAGAGGTGGCAAAGCCATAACATATATTCCCCTTGCTGTCTCTAAAGCTATCAGTAAAGTTTAGCAGGAAGCATGAAGCACCACAGAGAGTCACAAGTACAGAAGTCATGGACTTGCTGATAGAGTCACAATTGCCAATGTTTGTAAAAATTGGTGACAGAAGTTGGAAAGCTAGAACAGTGCCAGTAGGTAGAAGGTTTGCCAAGTGCGCGGTACTTTGAAATGTTGAACTTATAGCTTTCTGTATCAGGTTCCTCTCTGCCTCTGGAACCTCCGCGTTTCGCAGAAGTGGCTGCTTTTGTTCATCGTTATTTGCAGAATCGTCATTGATTTCTAAATTGATGTCCATCGCATATACAACCTCGTTTCACCTTCCTTTGATGTTGTGTTTTGTTTTGATCACCTTTGTATTGTATATGCTGCATAGGTTTGTTTGTTGATAAGGTATGTCTATATAGCTCAGAGCATAGTTTTGAGTGAAGGGAAAGGAATGTTGACATTGCTTGCAAGAAAGATTCACTTAAAACTTGATAGAACAACTTTCAATATATTCCTTTAAGAGTAGTTGCTTAATATAAGGTTGTATGAGGTGTTTTTTGTTTTCTTTATTTGCTTTAAAAGCTTAAATAACAGATATGAATCTAAATGCTTACGGTGGAAATTGAGATGAGAAAAACTGGTTCGTGCCTTCGTGGGATCCTCTTATTTAAGCTTAAAATGTACCGTCCAAAGTTACACGCCAATTACCATTTTTGGAACCATTTATTACACGGTTAGATAGTGAGAATAATAAATCCAAGGCAATTTCTTTTTCGACTTTTATGGAGTCAGGGTTAATTCTGAAAATTTCAAAATATCATTGAATTTATTTGGAGATACATTTTCGAATGCATTAAAAATTATTATTTTTTTGTCAAAATTTAGTTCAGAGATGTAATTGTAAACTTTTATGAGTTAAATTCGCAAATATATCTCTGAAGTCACATTTCTTCCTTCGTAAATCAAACAACCACTATTTTTAAAGAAAAAAATTCGGAGATGCATATGCGAATATTTCTGGAGTAAATTCGAAGATGCATCTCTGAAGTCTTGCCTGCATGTTTCTTGTGTAGAAACACTGTCCTAAGTTTGTAATTTTTCTTGTGTAGAAACACTGTCCTAAGTTTGTAATTTTTTGAATCCAAAATCATTTTAATTCAATTAACATTGCCATTATTCATTTCAAAGATTAATAAACATGAATATCATAGAACAAAGTAATGAGTCAATTAAAAAAGACAATCATTGCACATAAATTGTAGGAGACAAGCTCCTATATAAATTACCATCATATCCACGATCTCATCTCATTACGTCTGATCAAGTAACTTTCCTCTGATGGGAAGATGTAGGAGGCAAGCGACATCATCTAATGTAATTGTCATCTCGTTAAAGGGAAAGTGTAAAAATGGCGTTTTCTTATGCCATCTCTCAACAAATGTCGTATGCATGCCATGGTTGATGATGTTGTACCCGAAAGAACACATACCAGCAAGGCCGAAGTAACAGAGCACACTTAAGAATCACTTTTGCTTATGCTGAGGAAGCCTGTGAATCTTTCTGACATGGTTAACAAACTACAAACAATCACGTTCATATTAAAAAGAAAATATAACAATCTTAGTTGAATTGAATTTGGTTAAAATATAAAAATAAAGACCGTTAAGAAATGTACCTCTTCGACCCAGACATGCAGAGCAACATGATCTCTAAAATATATCAATAATGAAGTGTCAGTGGATCCTCCTAAAAAAAGGTCTGCAAGTGGAGGGATACCATCACGTGCAACTGGAGCCTCCTCCTCCTATTGTACACGAGTATGAGATGACTGAAGGAAAATCACGATTCAAAACGCAACGAAAATTAAAATGTTTCTTTAGTAATCCTTATGAATAAGCATGATTAGTGATATAAACTATTACCTCTTGTGGCGATTCAGACCTTTGATATTGTGATCACAAACGTTAATGAAGAACAATACCTCTACTCAGCCCATACGAACAGATTGCGTTCGATCATAATGATAGCTGCTTACAAACGAAAATTTTGAGTGAGTGAGAGAAAATACAGCTAGGGTTTCAAGATCAAATTTTCATCAAGTGAAAATGTTTCAGCACAAGGGTTCTATTTATAGAACCACTTGTATAGGCTGCAAGCTAAAAATCCAATTAAGGATGCAAGTTAAAAGCCCAATTAAGTCTACGGACATCATACCTTATGATGTACCATATATAACTTAAGTGCGTGGTACCTTACCATATTACGTAAGTGTATCGTACCTTACGGTGTTCTACAATTCTCTTAAGTGCACTGTACCTTACATTATTCCTTATTTACTTATCTCTTATCAACCTGTCCTTATGTATATGACTCTGTAGGTTTTCGCGACATTGACAATTATATTAAATCACACATTTAACATAATAAATAGTGAGCGGTATCTAGCAACACATCACTGCTACTAAAGTCATGAAAATATCATGTGATCTAACAAAACCTTTCCGTGATAATATTTGTGTGTACAATTACCCCTTTTCCCTTATGTCTATATTGAACACAAGGCATAAACCGTATCATCCTTGTCCAGTTCAATATTGGGCCCTTAGACATTTATCCTTAGACAATATTGTGAAGTACCCATAAACTGTTTTTATGGTCATTCAGTTACGGATAATGTTTGATCAACAATAAAGTACTTGAATCTACATCTAGGGTTCATAGTGGTTTCAGGTCGAAGGATGGTATACACTATCATTACCATGAGAATAACTTATGACATTTTGCATAACATTTTATGTAGTATCTTATGGCGGATCAATCCAGTATAAATATTACTTATAATATTCATACCTGTGTCAAGACTTGATAAATCCTTATCCATGATCCATGGGATGTGATCATCAGTCTATCTATATAATAATCACATACTTTAATGTTATTCCACTTCACTATAAAGCTCGACTACGTAGACTTTAATAATAATGTCCTTATGTTTAATGAGATCTCATGATTAAGTCATACTTAATATTTCATTAAACAGACGAACTATTCTATGGACTTTATTATTTTGGAAAAACAAATATAATAAAGAAATATCTTTTATTATTAATAAATAATTCGATACAAGTATCAAAAGTATCAGCCTCTAGGACTTACACCAATAATCTCCCACTAGCACTAGAGCCAATCAAACACCCCCCCTAATATCCATAGATCTAGTATGACCATCATGCTTTTGTTGAGAAAAGGCCTAGTCAATGGGTCAACAACATTGTCAAGTGTAGGTACTCTGCATATCTTCACATCTCCCAATTCAATTATCTCTCGAATGAGGCGATAACGCCTAAGTATGTGTTTGGAATTGGGGTAGGGCTCAAGCGAGAACAATTTTATTTTCCCTACATTATTATCTCCTTTCTTTTGCATGCATTCTTCCTTAATAGTAAACAGTAAGCATAGATTAAACAAACCCATAAGATAGATAACAAGAGTAGATACCGTAGAGTACTACAGACGTGTAGGATGCTAATACCTCCCCCTCGCGTAACAGACTCCCTTACCCGATCTCTTGGTTACAAGACCGTGACTTCTCCCTTCTTAGGTTTTCTAGATGTTCGCCTTTCCCTACATGTGGGATAAAATACGTTCGATGGAGACTTCATTGTTTGATGATTTTTAGCCGGTTGTTTCAGCTGGCGACTTCACTAGGGAAAGATCGACCAATTGTTGGTCCATCCCACAGTCGCTCCTAGCTCTTGTTTTCTTTTCCTTGGATGTTTATTTTTATGCTTTCAGTTTATTCATCCGTTTATGATTAACTGGGCATATGTATGCATTGCATTTTATTGTTTTTTATACATTACTACTGTGATGGATCTGCTTCTTGTTGGGTGGGGGTTATTATGAGGTAAAAGGTCAATTACCCAGGCAAAAGTTGTATACCACTAGGAACATTAGAAATAAAGTGGAGAGTCATGACAGACGATATGCGTATGCTCTGTCACCATCCAATCATGAAGCCACGATTAGTTGAGGTTCAAGTGAGGTATCACCAGCATCACAAATATGCATGATGGTGATACTTTCATGTGACCTATGATTTTGATTATCTATGAGCTTACCTTGACCTAGTTTACCCGTGAATGGGGAGGATATAATCTTCACAAGTACCGTTGGTGACTTGTTTGGTTGGTGACTGCTCAGATAGTAATTGTATGCTCTATTGGTGGCCATATGGTTCTCGAATTTATTTTCTGAGTTCCTGACTTGTTTATTTGAAGGTTCATTTGGACCCTCGATCTTGGTATTCCCAACATGTTCAGAAAAGGCTCAACATTATCTGGTGTTCTAGAAGCCTTGATCCCGTACAATGGAAGATCTACATGGTACCTGGTTCTTATATGTGAGGAAGTTATGTCGGACCTTTGATCAGGTGATATTCACGTGGTTCAGAAATAGTGCAACAATCATATTCAAAAGTGATGGAACTTTCATCCCATGTCTTTGCATACATAACATGGTTAACCACATTCTTAACATACATGTTCCGTTATTTTCAGGGAATCATATTTGTAAGTCCTGTGTTGAAATTTTCCATCCCTTACCTGTGTAAAATCAATATCAAAGCATGTAGATTCCTTGGAAATGACGGAACATGGCATGGCATCCATCCATGCACCCCATGCACATGCATGCATTCATAACAGATACTCGAAGATTGGGGATTCTTATTCAGACCTAGTGTTCTCCTTAGAGGTTCAACTTGATTTCTTGCTTCACATGTTCAGAGACCAGTATGGGATGACTCCGTGGGGGATTGACCAATACGAAAATCCCGATGGGGTTAGTTGTGGTATACATGTAAGCTTTAGCCCGTGGTCAAGAATTCTTTGAGAAGGAAGATAATTGATTGAAGACTCAGATGAGCTAGGTCATGGAAGCTCTGATGATGATATCAACAATTCTACACCTACTGTTGCAGCAAGGTTATCTATTCTTCTCATCTTTTGAGGATTGCTTTCAATCATGGAATACTACACAATCTTGAGTTCTTGGAATATCTTATCAACAAATGGTTCCTATTTACTGTGTGAATTCAAGAAACTTGTTCTACCAGCGAGATTAGAATACACCTGAAGAAGAGTTGATCTTATATCGGTGCTTCATTCTCATTGGTTACCATACCTGTTTGAGCTTCAGTGGGTTAGACCCCGTACTTCGGTACCATCTATAAATTCTCTTCCAGATCATGATACCAACGTCAGATGTGGTTACCACGCAGGGGCATCCGACTATTCAATCAGGGGCACT